ACCCTCCTACAGTACCTATGTGTTCAATGATTTGTAATATTCAGGTGTTGTTAATGCCAGCAACTTGTACATTTCTACAAGATGTCCAGAAAATTTGGAAGAATTTCAAAACCAAGGAGTTTATTGCTGCTTTGATAATGTCATGGTAAAGTTTTTTATAGGTTTTGAGAACTTTTTTCAGAAATTATTAATTTCATGGGCGGATTTACTGGGAGGGGGGGGGGGTTAGACCCCTCCTAGAATCTCTCTAACCCCTCAAATAAAGTGTTCAACCCCCACCCAAATTTCGCTTCACCCCTCCTATTTTGTGTGAAAGGCTTTAACCCAAATGCCTAACCCCTGCCAAAGCTCACTGAGTGATACCATTTGCACCCCCACCCGAATTTTTTCTACCCCTCCTTTTTAATAAATGAAAATCCGCCCTTGATTAATTTGCTCTCAAAAACCCTTTAACCTGTGTCTATTTTAACTAGGTGGGCAAAACTGTTGATATTCTCTTCTTATGTTGCCTGCCATCACAACTCAATACAGTTTCAAAGGTAATTAGTTTAGGAACGATGGCATTTCGTCTGGAATTAGTAACTCTGTAAATATGGATGGAAAGACAGGCAGTAAATCCTAAGAATTTTTAAGTATTTTAATGGACCTATTACCTAATGAACAACATTTTTGATCTAGAAAAGTCTAGACAAAAATTTCATCACAGCTTGAAAGAGCATCACAAAATTAGTAATATTCCGACGTTTCGTTGTGAAATATTGTAAAATACGGATAATATAGCCTTGCGAAGTTTGCCGTTTTTCAGTCATTTTGTATTACGCGCGGGAAATTGATACCTTTTTTCAGAAAGTGCGGTATCAATTTCCCGTGCGTAATACAAAATGACTAAAAACGGCAAACTTCGCAAGGCTATATTATCCGCATTTTACAACATTTCGCAACGAAACTTCGGAATATTACTAATTTTGTGATGCTCTTTCAAGCTGTGGTGAAATGTTTGTCTAGACTTGTCTAGATTAAAATTTTGTTCATTAGGGAATAGGTCCATTGTCTTTCTTGAACTTTTTCTTTAATATCTGCAGGATTTACGTGGCAATGTTGCTGGCTTGGTGTATTCGTTTGTTGCTGGTATGTCATTGGCAAGAATAACTCAACTATTGGATTACCAGAACATTGTTAAACCAACTCTTGTATCCTATATTTCCTGCATTAACTTCGGTCTTGCAACTTGAAAAATAGTAAAAGACACTTTGATGTTTTAGGAAGCTATCAGCTACAGCATGTTCCGTGTAGAATATTTTACTTAAAGTGCCTATATCAGGGTTTTGGAGTTTGCATATCTCGAAAGTATAGGGTATTTTAAGACACTTTGCAATATATTTTGTTATTGAAAAATTTGATGGATTTATTAGCTCTTAAAGTTACCGGACATGACGTCAAAAGGAGAATTTTGTTGCAATGAAACAAAGGTTTGCAAACTGATTTGCAATTCTCCTTTTGACGTCATGTCCGGTAACTTTAGGAGCTAATAAATCCATCAAGATGAAATTTTTCAATAACAAAATATATTGCAAAGTGTCTTAAAATACCCTAAACTTTCGAGATATGCAAACTCCAAAACCCTGATATAGGCACTTTAACCTACAGACTACACTGAACCTCGTGTTGATATTGTGAACAATTTAATATACTTAATTTTGTATATCCTGTAGTTTGAATATTTTTATATTTATTTGATAATTTCTTTGACAAAAAAGATGCAGATATTTAAGTCAGATGTTGATAATATATTTGAAGATTTAAATCCTTGGAAATTTGGTAAAGATGTAAGTTGATGGTTGTGATGATGATGGTGATTCAAATTCTTAAGAGGCCCTAGCTGGATTGTGGCATATATCCAAGCAATCTTAGAGCTTCATTCATTTTAGATAAAAGAAATACTTGCGGATCCAAAATGTATCCTACACACTTGCCCACTTTATTCTGACGACAGTAAGAGTCATTTTACTTCAACTATCTTGAAACTTGAATTCGTACCTTGCCTTTTCCTTAAACAATGTTGCGTGATTTCCTTTACCAGACAGCCTGCTTGAACAGGACGTGAAGTTAGTTGAAAGTTATGTTGTGACTGTGTTGAATGAGTGTACGAGACATGGTGTGGATAGAGACGAAGCAATGAGGTACTTTGTATGAGATGGGCGTTACCCGAAATATAATTTTTTGGTATTTATAATATATGGGTCATTCTAAGCAGAAATGTAATGTATCTTTAAAATTCTTTATAGTAAAAAACCTCATCTTGATCAACTTTTTCACTGCCAAACTTTCCCGATATGTCATTAGGTGAATTTTTGGTGAAAAAAAACAAAGGAAAACTTAATTTGCAATTCACCTAATGACATCATATCCGCAAACTTTGACAGTGAAAAAGTTGATCAAGATGGGATTTTTTATTATAAAGATATATTACATTACTTCTTCGAATGAACCAAATATTACACATGCAGAAAATCATATTTGGGGTTAGTCACACTTTAAAGAAAGCTTTTGCTTATTGGTATAGATACGTTTTACAGCATACAATATATTACTGAATGTAAAATATGGAATTGATTTTGTAAATATGTTCCCAAATTTTAAACTGGTTTGTTCCCAGGATGTGTAATTCAACGTTGTTCTCGTCAGAAAATTCGTCGTGTTTAGATGTACAAAATATTTTGATGAACGACGAAACAAACATGGATGCAAAATCCCCATACAAGTGAGTTGTGTGTGTTGAGTGAATTGGGATGCATTAAAAAACGCATCATTAGGAAACCAGGGGCGAATTTTCATATTTTTTAAAGGAGGGGTAGGAAAATTTCTAGTGGGGTGGAAAAATTTCTAGCGGAGCTTCGGCAGGGGTTAGGCGTTAGGGTTAAAGACCTTAACCCCCCTCCCGTAAATCCGCCCATGGAGGAAACGTCAAGGGAAATCACTACTGTGTCGATGGTTTTGTATAAAAATCATATTCATTTACATAAACCTTAGCTTTGATTTTCTCAGCTTAAAGAATGTTAAATTTTAGAATTACTTCGCCAATGAACTCATAAGATGGGTCGTTTTTAAAGCCATTTAAAACTTTCGCAGTCCGTGTTTTTTCAAATAATTATTCGCGTGTTTTATATCTCATAAAACACTCTTGCTCGTGTTATAAATAGTGCTTCAAAAAAACATTAATAATTCATGAGGAAAACACAAAGAAAAATCATAAGCGTGTCGTATCTTTATATGTGATAGAGATTTCCGCCTTTATTTACATAAACTTTAAGTCTTTAACTTTGATTTGCTCGACTTACACAACGTATTTTTGGAAAACTACTTCGCCAATGAACTTACTTGATCGTTTCTGAAGCAATTTAAAACATTCGCAGTGCGTGTTTTATTACTGCTCGTGTTATAAATAGTACTATTATTACTGATAATAATTCATAAGCTTATTGGCAAATCATGTCAACCATATGTCACGTGCATGCAGTGGCTTTAAACCTGATAAAACACTCCTAATTAGTATTCTTTATATAAAGAATACTAATAAGGCAGTATCTATTGTAGTTGTGTCCTCATAGAATTCTTTATATAAAGAATACTTATAAGACAGTATATCTATTGTATTTGTAGTCGTGTTTGAAGCCGTTTAATAAACTCGCAGGATCGTTTTAGAAGCAATTTAAAACATTCGCAGTGCGTGTTTTATCAGACCTAAAGATACTCGGCTTCGCCTCGTATCTTTATATCTGATAAAACACTGCTGTTCATGTTTTAAATAGTACATCATAATCTATTTCAATATTTTAATCGATTTACATATTCAGGGTTCGTAGTCTCCAAGACCAAAAATATTCAAAGACTTTCAAAGATTTTTTCTGCCTATTGTCAAAGACCTTTGAGAGCAATCAGCTGTCGAAAAATTGCGAGTGTATCAGCACCATTTTTGCCCAGTAATTAGTCCCGTCACATCACATCTAAAAATGTACCTTGTCGTCGATATTTGCGAAAACTTTGCTTGCTCTTCAATCAATCTATTTTATTAGCTAGGAAATTGTATAATCAAATACTCACTAAAGAATTTTCAAGACTTTGAAAGACTTTCTTCGCTTTTTCACACAATTCAAAGACTTTTCAAAGACCTTAAAGACCTGCATTCAAATTTAGAGACTTTCAAGGATTTCAAAGACCACTACGAACCCTGGAATATGACACCGCTTTTTACTTTCCTCAGATTCTTTCCAGTTTTTGATGTGGTTAAAATGGCCTCGGAGGAAACTTTATTGGAAAAGAAAATGAAAGAGGATGACACATTAAGAACCGCCTTCACAGAAAAATATCAAAAACGTTTGCAAAAGTAGGTGGAATTATATTTTCCATTCGTAAATCTAATGCTTCGTCTTTAATGTTTATCAATTTCGCTTTCCCATATCGCAGTAAACGCGCTAAAATTTCATTTAAGCCAATTAATCTATTTATCACTTTTTTGAAAAAAAATGAAGAGGGTGGGTTTTATTTTATTTTTTGTTACTATAGCCTGGGGCCGGTTATTTAAAAAAGTGATTAAAGTTAATCATAGTTAAGTGGAAATGTCATTCAATAAGAAGCGCCTATTTGTATAGGTAATCATGCGATGGCGAGTACAATTAGGGATTAATAGTACGAGTGATGTTTGGAAATTTTGCCAAAATTGGACGAGCCGCCGGGGCGAGTCCAATTTGGCAAATTTCCAAACATCACGAGTGATTAAGAGTTTTATACAACCGGCCCCTGATTGCGAGGCGATAGTGTACTCTGTTAGCACAACGGTACGAAAAAAACATAAAAAACATTCGACCTTGGCTACGCCACTGGAATCTTAGCAAGCATGCATATGGAATATTCATGACAAGCACAGTTCAGTGCAGTGAACAGCAATATTCAATAGCAATAATTTTAATTCATTTACAGTTATATAATGAAATAACATACAGTGTATTTTATAACCCACGGTAGTTAATTGTTCACATCCGTTCTACATGAAGTATTTTATGATACTATACAAATAAACTAATATCGTATTTTACACAAAATTTCTGGTGCAAAAAGACTCGAGCTATGCAGTACTGATGATATTGGTATATGTAATAGATGAAATAGATTGTCAAGTTTTGATGCAGTGAATCGATTATATGAGACCTGATCTTGTATATAGTTGCGGTATAGATAAATAAATTATGGACGGGATTGGGATTATTGAATACACCTTAGTCAATAGACGGTTTAAAAAAATAAGTATGTAAGTTAGATGTCCATTAAAATGGCAGTCATACAAGTTTGCAGTTCAGAAATTTTTATTATAGACCCTTGGGTCACCAAAAACATGGTATTGTTTACTCCATAAAACTTGTATTCACTCCGATCGCCATTAGTCTAATGCCCGTGCAGACTCGTATCGTTGAAAAGGAAGATAATAATCACGTTTTGCCTTGTCATATTTTGACGCAGGCAACGCATTGTTCTTCTTAGGTCGATCAACTTGACTCGAACTCTTCCCTTTGGCTTGAAAAGTGTCGATGTGCTGCTCCTTTTCGTGGAAAAACTCAATGAAATATGGTTTTTGTCCTCTGTTTCTTGTGTTTCTGAATGCCGTCTTGTTGATTCTCAGCTTTCTCTTGCCTAACACAACGACAATTTTCAGTCCGACTCTTCCCCTGCTGTCCCGAAGTGGTTTGACGCTTCGCCAAGCTAGAAAAATTTATGATAGTTTGAGATTGACAGTTGGAAAATTGATCACGGGGATACAAAGGTCTTCTATTTTGTGGCTTTGAGGTTTGCTGGGATTCCAGACCATCATATCTTAATAGACTATTTATTTATTTATTTATTTATTTATTTATTTGGCTTTTTCCAACTAGGGGAAGGGTCACCACAGCACCATATACCGATTACTGTGCGCCTTTTTACCTAACCCATCCTGTCAACTTTCCCTGTGGGAGGAAACCGGAGTATACCCGCGGAGGAAACCCACAACCCCCGGCACAACGTTGACTTTTTTACTCTTTTCACATGAGGACTGGGTTGGACTGCATTGGGAAAGTTCTGACTGGGATTTGGGCCTGCAACCTTAAGCCCTGGGCAAACTAGGAAACATTGTTGCGGAAACATTGTTTCCTGCCAATGTTTCGCCATGTTTCCCAGAGTGGGCAAACACTATAGGAAACATTGGTGAGAAACATAGGGAAACATCAAATGTTTCTGAATTTGCTAGGAAGCATTTTTGCTTCTCGGGAAGCAAATTTTGTTTCCGCAACAATGTTTCCACGGGTGGGCAAACATGGAAACATTTGAGGAAACATCGAGAATCACAAATGTTTCCACAACAATGTTTCCTAGTTTACCCAGGGCCGTTTAGAGGTGAAAGGCAAGTGCGCTAACCACTTGGCCACCGAAGCCCCACTATGTTGTGATCGAAAGCAAAGTCAGAACCTACTGAGACATATTCGTCAATGACGTGCAGACAATTGATTCTGAAATGTACCTGAAATATTGATTGTTTTCCAACCATAGGCTTTACTTGAGAGTTTATAGATATTCACCATCTTGCGACTGTATAAATCAAATATTTTGACATAGTAAGGTTTGTTTGAAGATGAAATCGAATTCGTGGCCGTGGTCATGAAAATGCGCAGTTCATCTCGGTTCCATTTCTTGTTGTCTTGAAAACTATTGTTCTTGAAGATTAACTTGATGGCTCGTTTCGTTCGCATTATTTCTGGAAATAAATTAGGAGGAAAGTGGTGTAAACTACTATAACTTTCTTTGGACTGGAAAAGCCGAGTTCTCAGCTGTTCTCTTAAATGTCCAGTAAGTGTCATCGCTTATCGATTTCATTACCACAAGGAAAACTAAACTAAAACTGATGAGACTTGACAGTCATGCATTGTTACAGGGGACATTTCAAGCTCTAGATTTACAAACTAGAGGTTTGATGAGTGTTCCGACTATGTTTTTAAAACATAACTTTAATAGAATACATGATAGTGTTGGGAAAGCATTAAGAACAGCTAACCAACCGTGACTGCCAACTCTCATACACTCTTATATCCTTGTTTGATCCTGGCTTAGCTTTTATTTATACTGGATAGCTCCATCAGTTCTAAACTGTTCTCCCTGGAGGTCCAGTAAGGATCATCTCTTATTGATCCAGTGTTACTACAGGAGGAAACCTAAACTAAACTAACTTTATTTATACTGGATAGCTCTATCAGTTCTAAACTGTTCTTCCTAGAGGTCCAGTAAGAATCATCTCTTATTGATCCAGTGTTACTACAGGAGGAAACCTAAACTAAACTAACTTTATTTATACTGGATAGTTCTATCAGTTCTAAACTGTTCTTCCTAGAGGTCCAGTAAGGATCATCTCTTATTGATCCAGTGTTACTACAGGAGGAAACCTAAACTAAACTAACTTTATTTATACTGGATAGTTCTATCAGTTCTAAGCTGTTCTTCCTAGAGGTCCAGTAAGGATCATCTCTTATTGATCCAGTGTTACTACAGGAGGAAACCTAAACTAAACTAACTTTATTTATACTGGATAGCTCTATCAGTTCTAAACTGTTCTTCCTAGAGGTCCAGTAAGGATCATCTCTTATTGATCCAGTGTTACTACAGGAGGAAACCTAAACTAAACTAACTTTATTTATACTGGATAGCTCTATCAGTTCTACACTGTTCTTCCTAGAGGTCCAGTAAGGGTCATCTCTTATTGATCCAGTGTTACTACAGGAGGAAACCTAAACTAAACTAACTTTATTTATACTGGATAGCTCTATCAGTTCTAAACTGTTCTTCCTAGAGGTCCAGTAAGGATCATCTCTTATTGATCCAGTGTTACTACAGGAGGAAACCTAAACTAAACTAACTTTATTTATACTGGATAGTTCTATCGGTTCTAAACTGTTCTTCCTAGAGGTCCAGTAAGAGTCATCTCTTATTGATCCAGTGTTACTACAGGAGGAAACCTAAACTAAACTAACTTTATTTATACTGGATGGCTCTATCAGTTCTAAACTGTTCTTCCTAGAGGTCCAGTAAGGATCATCTCTTATTGATCCAGTGTTACTACAGGAGGAAACCTAAACTAAACTAACTTTATTTATACTGGATAGCTCTATCAGTTCTAAACTGTTCTTCCTAGAGGTCCAGTAAGGATCATCTCTTATTGATCCAGTGTTACTACAGGAGGAAACCTAAACTAAACTAACTTTATTTATACTGGATAGTTCTATCAGTTCTAAACTGTTCTTCCTAGAGGTCCAGTAAGGATCATCTCTTATTGATCCAGTGTTACTACAAGAGGAAACCTAAAGGCTAAACTAACTTTATTTATGCTATCAGTTCTAAACTGTTCTCCCTGGAGGTGCAGTAAGGATCATCTCCAATCGGTCCAGTTAAGGAGGAAACGTATACGTAATGAACTGTATTTATACTGGATTGTTAAATTTGGTTTAAAGTTTAAACTGATCTTCCTATAGAGGTCCAGTACAAGGGTCATGTGAAAATTCTATGTTTGCGAAAGTATTAGCCTAGGAACAAGAAAAATGCAATGCAGTATCACTGAAGGCGCGTTCTATATTTCTTAAACAGATAAGTTTCACTACTCCGAACAAGCGCTCCCCGACGTCATTTACAAATTTCTTACGAGTGTTAAAAATATCGTGGATGTCTTCTATTTTGGCGACCATCTGTTGTTATCGCGGCGCTGTGTAGTTAACATGTCATAGCTTATCTTTTCTGCATTATAATTATGATGACTTCATTCACAGCTTTATTAATTAGAGAATTTTCTATACACTTGACTGTAGTCATGGTACTGTATATGGGTGAGGTTGCAGATAAGGGAAGTTAGAAAAATTAGATTAACCTGCACGCGATTTTAAAGTACTATTTAAAACATGAGCAGCAGTGCTTTATGCTGACTGCGAATGTTTTAAATGCATGGCTTAAAAACCGACCCATCTCATGATGGGTTCATTGGTAATGCAATTTTTAAAATAAACGTTGTCTAGGCCGAGAAAATCGAAGCTAAAGTTTATGTAAATGAACATGATTTTTTATCACAATACAAAACCACTGACACGGCAGTGATTTATTTTGTATTTTCCTCATGAATTATTAATGAATTTTTTAAGCATGTTCTTGAATGTGAGCTACCTTAATTAAAGATCTGATCTGATGTTGTACAGAACTCATTGCTGAATTAAACATGGTTAGATCATGCAGAGATTGTACATGTTCTTGAATGTGGGCGATCTTAAAGTGATCTGATGTTGTACAAAACTCACTGCTGAGTTAAGCATGATTAGATCATACAGAGGTAGTACATGTTCTTGAATGTGGGCTACCTTAAAATGATCTGATGATGTTGTACAGAACTCACTGCTGAGTTAAGCATGGTTAGATCATGCAGATGTTGTACATGTTCTTGAATGTGGGCGATCTTAAAGTGATCTGATGTTGTACAAAACTCACTGCTGAGTTAAGCATGGTTAGATCATGCACAGTACATATTCTTGAATGTAGGCGAACTTATCTGCTCCAAAAATAGGATTGCTACTGGCGATGTACGAGCGTCGAGCTGTCTAGGCCATGGTGTATTTAGCAAGGCTATCAAAATCATTGTGTTATAAAATGTCTTAATCACTCGTATTCCAGCTTTAGAAAAAACAAACAAACGTGAATGATTGCAATAACAGTGTATGGGAAAAGAGAAATAAAAACAAACAAAGTGACGATGCATTTATTCCTTAGGGCCGCCCCCATTAAAGAGGGAGGGGGTGGGGTTTAGTTTGCACGTTCGCGATTTTTTTTGTTCGCTCACCCGCTCTTTAATGGGATGTATTTTGACGCTGTTTCATGAATTGGAAAATAGTTTTCTCGAAGTAGATAACTGAGGTGATTGCAATATTGACTCGATATAGCTCAATTAGTACGTAGAAGTATTATGGGATGGATCCAGCATGATCTGGTGGTGGTGGTAGTGGTGGGGAGGGTGCTCTGCCAGCAATGGTGCAGAGTTGTGTCGGTCAGGTGCGCCGCCCGCCAATCAATACACAACAGTACTTGCTTGACTACTAGTAGTATTTTAAACTGTTGAACTATACAGTATGACTGTATGTTGAACTTGACTACTGTATTTGAACTATAATTGTTGTTCACAGTTCGTTTATCATCATGTTATTACTCAAATTACTGTATCTCATTTTGTTTTTAATCTCAGTTCATTCCGGCTTGAGTCCGCTCTATATTGAGTGCAATCATTTTAACAAGAAATCTGTGGATTGATAGGGATACAACAGTACCTGAAAATACAAGGAGAACTTTTTTGGTAATCAGTTTACTGCAGTTGTTGGAATGACAAAAATCATATGAGCTGCAGATTCTTATCTAACAAGCCCATTCTTCCTAAAATGGAATATTTCCCCAATCCATACGCCGTGCCCTTAGAAGTCCAGCAAGGGCGCGTGCCCTGAATAGTGATACAGAATTCTTACGGCTTAAAACTCATTAACATTTTCTGCTCTTCAATCAGATCATACGTGCGCGACGCATGTACAAAGAACGCGAAGATAAACAAAATATTAGAACTAACCAAACAGGATTTCCGATCTTGGTATTTTTACAACATAAACAACTTATTTCCATATTTTATCGGTCTGTTGGCTTTGAATTGTTAGTGCGGAATTCAATTTAGAATTATATCTCAAACGTGGTCGTCCAGTGTAGGTAGTATTCCACAATTATTTGCGATGGTTTGTGTCTGAACTACGTGAAAAAGATATCTCAAGTGGTCCAGTGCAGGTAGTATATTCTAAAGTAAGATTCCTGAAGGTCATTTGGACACTAACCACGACAGCTTATTATAGAATACTATCTTCTCTGAACCCCCATGAGATATGTTTTTCAGATCAGACCCAAACCACGGCAACGTATTGTAAAACTGTCCCTATAAAACACAGGATCTACAATCCTAGAGCTCTTAAAACAAAATTTCTCAACCCCCTCGGAGTGTCCATCTTATAATCTACTGATAAATTCTTAGCAAGGTGTCAGTGAACTGGTCGGCCTTTCCGCACTAGAAACACTTTTTCTTCAAGGAAAATTTGGCCAATAAACCTGTCCTAGATAATGCGCATAGTCTTGTCCTTTTAGTTCCTAATTAATTGGATGATGATGTGTGATTGTCGTGACCACTGACCAGACGCAACTTGTTGATTTAAGCTACAATCCAAACAAAATATTTATTAATAGGCCTCGAGTCATGTCCAAAATTACAGGAGATATGACCAAAAATGTTTGCAATATGCCAATATACAGCGGAGTTTCGCGCAATTTTTTTATACCGTTTTTCACACACACACATTTGTGAAGCAAAACGATTTGACCCCTAAAGTTCAAATTCCCAACGAGTCAGTTGGACTGTTTAATGCGCGCAATCTGGAGAATTTATAGTTTGCATTTTATTGCTAATGTCTTGTGGCATATTGGTATGTATATGAGTGATTACATATATTTACTTCCCCTCAAGTATTCTCCATATTCAGGTTTAGCATAATCCGCGCGTAAACTATTTTCGTGTTGTTTATTCAAGTCTTAGATTCATAGAGAATCAACACTTTAGTCTGCACATAAAATAGGTTCATCCATTTGACAAGTCTCCAAATGACCTCTTGATGACGCATTTTATATGCGTTCTTTTTTTAGACCAAACTTGCGCAAAACTTGTGCAAATTTGCGCACTTTATTTAGATTCGTGGTTGCACAGCCATGACGATGTGAGTACAAAGCTAGTGTGTTTTCCGCTATTTAGCAAGATTATAGTTGAAATGTCGTTTTAGTTCCTTAAAACTGACAAAGTAAACATGCCTGTGCCCATAAATCCTTGTCGGATTGTATGCCTTTGAAGTCCGCGCACTTGAATTTTGGAAGAGTTCGCCTACATTTGCGCACGCGATAATGCCCGCGTCATTTGTGCAAACGCGCAAACTATGCTAATGAAGTAATGTACAATTGCGCATGTTATGGCAAAAACGTTTGGCGTGTATGGATTGGTTCGAATGCGTGGTGATGGGCCAGATTGATATAGGTTTGATATTCATTTGCGCAATTGCGTTTTTATGTTAATTATGACTTTATGTTAATTACTGGTTTCTAGGCGCCTTTTGTGGTAAATGAGTTTTTTGCGCAATGTATGATAATGAGGGCCTTCTAGTAAAACCGTGCAATTTTCGCTACTTTAAAAGGAGTTCGTCGACGAGTATTTCGTAAAGCTGCGTTAATTGGATTCTTTGAAGTGTTTATTGGATTGCATGGGATTATCGAAGCACTTTTTAAATCACGCGAGTACACACGATTGTACATTTGTACTAACAAATAAGCTAAACTAACTTTATTCATACTGGATTGCTCTGTCATTCCTAGCCTCTAACCTGAACTAAATTAACTTTATCTATACTGGATAGCTCTATCAGTTCTTAACTGTTCTCCCTAGAGGTCTAGTAAGGGTCATCTTTTATTGATCCAGTGATACTACAGGAGGAAACCTAAACTAAACTAACTTTATTTATACTGGATAGCAGTCTACCAGTTCTAAACTGTTCTTCCTAGAGGTCCAGCAAGAATCATCAGTTCTTTTACGTTTGAAGCACATAATGCGGAATCTCTCTCACATTAGCGTACTGATAGAAATCTAGTGCGTGTTGTTAACTAGGTGGAAAATTTGCGTCAGAAGAAATTAAGACTTAATTCCTTGTTCATAAACTCTTAAGTTTTCCAATTTGATTCAGCCGCTCAGGCACCAGAGCAGGACGTTTGCGTAAATTGGATTTGAAATAACGTCAAGAAATATTTGATATTTCTCTGAAATCTAGTATTATTCTAGAAATCGACAATATATAAGCCAAAACTATCCGACAATTTAAGGAAATCAAGTAGCAATTAACAAAATTCGAAAAATGATAGATCTTGAGAACGCAAGATATAGACAGAAACAAGATGTATATTTTAGCCAAAGTTTGTGTGATCACAATAGGAATTCTGCATAGGCCATAGCCGCAGGCAAATTCTAAGTTTTGAAGTACTATTTAAAACATGAACAGCAGTGTTTTATCAGATATAAAGATACGAGGCGAAGCCGAGTATCTTTAGGTCTGATAAAACACGCACTGCGAATGTTTTAAATTGCTCCAAAAACGTTCGATCTAGTAAGTTCGAATCATTGGCGAAGTAATTTTCATAAAATACGTTGTGTAAGTCGAGAAAAGCAAAGTTAAAGTTTATGTGAATCAAGGGAAATCTCTATCACATATAAACATACGACACTCTTATGATTTTTCTTTGTGTTTTCTTCATGAATTATTAATGAGTTTTGAAGGGCTTGTAAGAAATGTTTGAAGGAATTGATTCAGTGTTCAACACTAAGTCAGATCCCTTAAACATTTCTTACAAATCCTTCAAAACTTAGAATTTACCCACGCAAAATTCCTATACTGTAATCACAGAAACTTTGATAGTCACTAAACCAGGTTGAATACACATTCATAAACCACCCAATTTATTTGACATACTATTAATCTGTATTATGCAATAGTGCTTTAGGCAACACAGGGCAAATTGCACGTAAACCGACACCAATCACAAACTGTTTATGCCCTAAGTGCAATAAACGATCCGTAAACAGGAATAAACGCTGCGCTATCTGGCGCCAATACTCTTAATCAAAGTTCCTGTATTGCAAACATTGCATGAATTGCGTCTTTGCGTGCGCCACTAAGTGCACGTTGACATGCATTCGGTTTGGCGTAGCGTCGCAACTACACCGACCATGACGCACCTTTTCCGCGCGGAATCCATGCGTAACAGTATACCGGATAACAAGTGGGAAAAAAATCTTACTTGTAAACATGTTTACTCATTTACTCGACTTCTAGAATGAGCAGTTTGAACTGCTGATATAGAGCTATCCCGAGTCCCTGGCTAACACAGCCTGCGTAGCTAGGGGTTGAGGCGCGGCTGGTCTAACACTCCACCAGTAAAGGGTGATCCTATATGGGGCTGCTCTTGAAAGAACTCTGCTTAGAACTGATATGGCTATTCAGAATAAATAAGTTTGTTTACTTTAGGTTTCCTCCTGTCGTAATACTGCATTAATATGGGATGATCCTTCTACTCGACCTCTTGGGGAACAGTTTAGAACTTGATAAAGCTATCCAGTATAAATAAAATCAGTTTAGCTTAGGTTTCATCCTGTGGTAACAACAAGATATAATCCTTACTGGACCTCTAAGAAGAACGGTTTAGAACTGTAGAGTAATCGAGTATAAATAAAGTTAGTTTAGTTTAGATTTCCTCCTCTAGTAACATGGAATCAATAAGAGATGATTCTTACTGGACCTGGAGAACAGTTTAGAACTGATAGAGCTATCCAGTATAAATAAAGTTAGTTTAGTAGTTAAACATTTCTTCTGTAGCAAGATTGCACTAGAAAGGGACAGCCCTTACTGAAGAAAACTGATAGAACTCTTTAAAGTATGGTCACCCAACCGACAACCCCCTGGTGTAATTAACGAACGGTTCCCAAAATGAAAACTTACTTGGAAAAATACAATGCAAGTTGTTCACACTTTTCCCATGCTTCAGATTTTCTTTGTAAAGTTGTAGAATATATTTCGGCGCAGTCACCCTAACCCTAATTCTATCATTCCGTCCCGGCTGCAGTGGCCCAGATTTCCTTACCGCAGGAGTGTTTCGTCTCTCTGGAAGGAAGAGTCCATCCACAAGCAAGCAACATAGTTGAAACACGAGCAGGAACGCGAGTGTTCTCATTTTTGCAGTTGAAATTCTCTCTGTGTGTTCAAGCTGTCCAGTCAAGCGCTGTGTGTGCAGTGACTGTTATCTCGTTTGACCTTTTAATTTATACTCTCCGTTGACGCCTGTCTATAAAACGGAAATGTTTTTGAAAGGCGAAGAGATAAGGATCAAAAGTATTTAGTTGCGAGACTCACATTATAAAATCCTCTTAATTTAGACCGGGGGGGTGTGCGACGTTGTTGCGCACCAAAGGGATAAAACTTGAGACATATTAGTGAAATTTATTGGAGCAAGAAAATTAAACTACATCTCTGAATTGTATTTGCCACCAAATACAATGAAATTTGATATAATGAAATTTGATTTTAACATTTAATGCGTAATAACAGTGCAGATTGACCACCATTTTTAGTTATAACCAGGCATATTTTTCCAGCTTGCCCGATGTGGATATGCACTCAGAGTAACATCACAAGCATCATTCACATGAGTACATTACACCAAGTCACCAACACAGAAAAAATCATTATGTGAATCAAGGTTCTATATTAGCTATACTCTATAGGAAGGCTTTGCTGTATTCTCATACGCTACTGAGATTGAAGTTTAATCGCCACGAATGAAAAAATTGTCAATTATTTCCACTTATGTGCATGGTATGATGGTAGTCTTGTATTTGGTGGTAAATAAAGTAATCATTCCATGCGTGCCCACTTTCTAGGGATATAGAGCGATTTTCTAAGGATAAATAGTGTTTATTTAATCGTTGAGCTCAAATTGGGGGTGGCGCGATGTCGCAAGAGTTAAGTAGGATTTGAAAAACGCCTTTGTAAAACGGTTATCGGGCTCGCTAGTATTGAGATATGTTATTTTTAATCCTTAAGATTAAGGTATGGTGCAGACTATAGGAAAGGTTTCCCTTCTCGTGTTCCGTTCTTCATTGTCTCCGGTGTAAGACAATCATACGACCGTTGACATGAGCAAGCTTCCTTGTTCAAACACTGGTATGCATAGTTGATAAGAGCGTCAACAAAACTCAACTAACTTCATACTAGCCTACGGTGTAGACTCCAGCAGAAACACGGGTCTACACCGTAGGCTAACTTTATACTGGATAGCTCTATCAGTTCCAAACTGTTCTTCTTAGAGGTTCAGTAAGGATCATCTCTTATTGATCCAGTGCTATTACAGAAGGAAACCTAAAATAAACTCTCAGATTTATACTGGATAGCTCTATCAGTTTTAAACTGTTCTTCCTATCTTCCTTCCTATCATCTCTTATTGTAGTTATTGATCCAGTGTTACTACAGGAGGAAACCTAAACTAAACTAACTTTATTTATACTGGATAGCTCTATCAGTTCTAAACTGTTCTCCCAAGAGGTCCAGTAAGGATCATCTCTTATTGATCCAGTGTTACTACAGGAGGAAACCTAAACTAAACTGACTTTATTTATACTGGATAGCTCTATCAGTTCTAAACTGTTCTTCCAAGAGTAGGGGTCTAGTAAGGATCATCTCTTATTCTCTTCAGTAACACAAGTCGACCTGCGCTGTTTAATTGGTTGAAAGCACTCTTCTCTCAGGCAAATAAAAGTGCCTGAGGAATCGATCACTCCCCCGTCCTAGCTTGCAACTAAGTAGGCATTTGAAAGTCCCAGAGGTGCACGTGACAGCAACGTGTATTATGTGGCACCTCGAAAGCTGTCTTGAATAGCTCGTCAACTGGCTCGCTTTCAAAAAAGTTGCCAACTTTAGTTTTGCAAGCCTGCACGTAATAAAAAAAAACAAACATCTTCGGGGAAGCTTGATCGCAGTTTTTGTCCGGGGCAGGAGCCTGGAAGTGTTCCCAAACCATTGCGAAGCTAAATAATCATTTTATCATAAGATACAGGACATGCAATGTACAATCAAGCAGCAAGCAAAAGGAATTCGAGCATTGCATGGTGTTAATGTGTTCAAAATAAGGATATAATTTTAGTCAATAACCGGAATAGAAAATAAGTTTGTTTGCTGTTTAGGAATGTGGGCGCAGATTGGCAAGTACAATCATTGTCAAACTGTGTCAAGGACAGATAGCCCCAAAACCTATAATCTTAACAAAGCTCCCCGCGCCCCTGGCTTGCGGCTCGCAAGCGACCACGCCCCCTATTCAATGTTGCGTCTCAGGTTGCCCCAGCTACAATCTGCCAAATATTGTTCCACTCGCACAAATACAGCATAATATTGAATATCGAGATTTTACCTCGGACTGGTATCACACACCATATATACAAGAACTCGACGACTGGACTCTGTAGCTCAGTGGGTTAGACCGCTGTACCGGAAGCACAGGGGCGGAGGTTGATTTCTGCCAGAGGGCTTGTAGTGGCATTTTTTTGCAGCTGTTTCTGGTTAGGTTTAAACTGGTGAACTCAATCTATTTACCTGCAACGATAACATTCAGTCACAGAGCAGAGACATACAGAGACGTAACCGTGATCGTCGTAAACACTGCGGAAGATTACGTTTTCATGTACCCACGTGTTTTTCAGGCGACCGGGCGAAAAATGATCAACTGCGCGTGCTCAGCAAGTTTAAAGTGAGTCGTCATCAGGTCGTCATCCAATCAGATGCATGCATCTAGTAACTTGCCGAGCATGCGCACCAAAAAGTGGGTACACTAGTTACGTCTCTGTATGTCTCTACTCTGTGATTCAGTCATTTGGCAGTCGAAAAAGGAAACCTCGCGTGAGCAATGGCGTCAACTTTCCACGCATTATAGTACGTCAGTTTCAGTCCTCTTATTACGCCATCACCGCGCGGTTCTATCACGAATCAGCGCGTGTCAAGTGGCATTGGCTTTAAATGTGAGAGTGTGACGCTAACCAATTTTTTTTATTTGGCCTTGGAATGACGTTTTTTAACTCGATCAGAGCTAGAACGTTTAGAAACTTTACGATCAGAGCACGTTTCAGAAACTCTACCGGATCAGAGAATGATTAGAAACTTTACGATCAGAGCACGTTTCAGAAACTTTATTATGAATCCTGATCGCGCATTTAGCATTTTTAATAGTTAGATTCAGTATTCATTTTTAAAGAAAATATAGCCCTGTGAAGTTCGCAAATTTTGTATATATTTGTATTATATACGCGCGGTAAAAATAACCACTTTCGGCTCAAAAATGGTTATTTTTCCCGCGCGTAATGCAAATATATACAAAATTTGCGAACTTCACAGGGCTATATATTCTCCTCATTTTACAACATTTCGCAACCAAACTTTGCAATTTTACTAATTTTAAGATACTCTTTCCAGCTATGGTAATGGATTTCGTTCTCCTTGTTTAGATCAAAATTTTATCTATAGCTGCAATCAACCATTGTTCTGCATGCTTCTTATGACGTCATAAGCATGGCACCTAGAAATTTAGTTATCATATACTTTACCTTTTTGAGGTCTTATAACATACCACTTGACCTTTTTTCAACTCTGGATTATACTAGATATGTTGCTGGCTCCATTACAAAATATATCTTGACCAATTTGCGTAAAAGGGTTTATAATTAGTTAAGTGGTTAGGGTTTTTGCCAATGTCCCCCTTTTATCTTGTAATAGATCTATTTCCATTTTTAGTTTAGTCCTGTAGATTACAACAGGAGGAAACTATCAATAAGAGATGATCCTTACTGGACCTCTTGGGAGAACAGCTAGTTTAGAACTGATAGATCTGTCTATAGTATAAATAAAGTTAGTTTAGTTTAGGTTTCCTCCTGTAGTAACACTGGATCAATAAGAGATGATCCTTACTGGACCTCTAGGAAGAACAGTTTAGGACTGATAGATCTATCCAGTATAAATAAAGTTAGTTTAGTTTAGGTTTCCTCCTGTTGTAACACTGGAGCAATAAGGAATGTCCTTACTGTACCTCTAGGAAGAACAGTTTAGAACTGATAAATCTATCCAGTATAAATAAAGTTAGTTTAGTTTAGGTTTCCTCCTGTAGCAACACTGGATCAATAAGGAATGTCCTTACTGGAACTCTAGGGAGAACAGTCAGTTTAGCTTTCTCCTGTAGTAACACTGAATCAATTGATTGAAAGATGATCCTTGCTGGACCTCTAGGAAAAGCAATTTAGAACTGTTTGAATTATCCAGTATAAATAAAGTTAGTTTACTTTAAGTTTTATTGTTTAAATGCGTTATCCGCAGAAATTGCGTGGGAAAACTATAGTAATTTGAGTATTATCAGCAGTGTATTTTATTTCTAGCACTTGAGAAGTATTGTTTAGCAACAACAATGTTCAAACAAATGATGTTTATTTTGTTAGAACAAGCTTGAAGTAGTTCGGAAACATTTCATACACCGCCTTAGCAGGGTGTTCATGTTCACATACCGTAAAAACAATCGCTTTCAAAAGAAATCCGTTAGGCAGAACACGAATATATGAATATACCCCCCCCCTCCAATTATCAGTCTAGCTACGGAGCCTTAGATCAAAATTTCCCCGCCATATCAGTCATGTATTAGGGCGTTTTAGAGATCGATTACTGAATAAATGCCTTTCCTATTATACAGCATAATCCGCACTGATTTATGTTTACAATAATTCATGTAATATTTGATAAACTCTTTATTTACCCTAACCCATCCTGTTAAATTTCCTCTTGGGCTGATACCGGAAAAACCCAAAGATATATATCTAAATATATTATTGATACTATAAAGCTTAGGAAATTGAGGAATTAATGTAGCTACATTCTTTTCATTTCTTCCCTTGTTCTGTTCCTATATTTTGATCTTCTAAACTCGTTCCCCTGGAACTGTTGTTACACGAAAAAACCTAAATTAAACTAACTTTATTTATACTGGATAAAAAAATTATACTGGATAGCTCTGTCAGTTCTAAACTGTTCTTCCTATAGAGTAGGCTCGAGGTCCAGTAAGGATCATCTCTTATTGATCCAGTGTTACTACAGGAGGAAACCTAAACTAAACTAACTTTATTCATAGTAGATTGCTAGTAGTTCTAAACTGTTCTCCCTAGAGGCCCAGTATAAGGATCATCTGTTATTGATTTAGTGTTACTACAGGAGGAAACCTAAACTAAACTAACTTTATTTATACTGGATATAGTTCTGTCAGTTCTAAACTAGTTGCCCAGTAAGCATCATCCCTTATTGATGCGTGGGATAATTGGATTGTCTGGCAGATGTTGGTCAATTTATAAAATATTGACCCTTATAAGAGGAAGAAAATTAAAGCACATCTCTCATTTGCTTTTCTGCCCTCCCCCCCTCTCTATAAGATAGTTCATAGCAACGTTGAAACACTTATAATGTCTATATCCTAAATAAAGCCTGTCGCTAAGTGCGCTTGGCGCTAATGAATCTTGTTACATGCCATTGTTCGGTAAGTACTGTTGATCGTCTCGCATACGGAAAGTCACGATAGATTTTAAAATTCAAATAAACCAATAAATATATTTGTAAATTAATGTTAAAATACAAGAAAAAGCAAGAAATGTTCCCATAAATCGACACAGCAATGCAGAAGTTTAGACTGTTATAATGCCAAGTGCGAATCGCGAAAATGTATAAGGATTAACAAGTCCTCAAACACGACATTTGGGTCAACTTTTGTAACTGCATGTTTTTGGGTGTTATATATATAATATATTTAGACATTCTCATTTATTATAGATATATCAAGTGTGCCCTAGACTTGACTAGATGTGACAAGCTATCATTATTACATGAGTTTGGAGTGCTTTTTATGAGGTTTACCGTTCAGACATCGAGTATTTAGTAACATTGGTTGACATTGTCCCTCTCGACTTTAATCTGACAAACATATTAGTAGAGTCGCCAACACTCTCATCGCACACACGCGATCTTCCTAGCGTGAGAACCAACTGGATGTATTTGTGTACCATGGTAACATTCAATCATGAAAACTGAGAAACCAATTAAACTAAACTTTGACGTCTTTGTCTAAAAGTTACTCTAACTTTATTTATACTGGATATAGCTCTAGCAGCCTCTCTAGAGATCCAGTATAAGGGTTATCTGTTATTGATCCAGTATTGAAAGATTTAAAGGTGTTTGAAGTGGCAAAGGGCAGCTCATTTGCATATACCGCGCGTTTCAATATTCCAAACTAGCATATAGAAGATTGAGGAACATTTTAAATTTTTTACACATACGTTATGAAAGCATCTTAAGAAATCATTATATTATACTTCCTTATCCATCATTTGAGATTGTGACGTGTTGTTCCATGTTCAAATTTGGCGTAATGGACGTGATCATTAGTTTCTACAAGGTCAACCTATAACAACTTCCATTGTTTTTACGCACTTCCGAGGAACATTTGGAAATGGAAAATTCAAGACCCAGGGAACATTAAACACTTAAGCTCTGGTATATTGAGATTTTAAGCACCGATTTTTTACTTTCGTAACTTTGGCGCAAAGCTGTCTTTGTATAGAATAACTATAGTTAAGTAGATTTAAAAAACTCAATAATTCATGAAAAAAAGAAATAGGAAATTGCTGCCGTGTTGGTGGTTTTATATTTGATTAAAAATTATGTTAATTTACATAAACTTTAGCTTTGATTTTCTTGGTTTGAACAACGTTTATTTTAAAAATTACTCCGCCAATGTACTCATCAGATGGGTCGTTTTTTAAGCCATTTAAAATAGTCTGTGCTTTATCAGATAATAATAATATATTTATTCCATTACACCATTACTGGTACATAGGATATATTACAATATAACAGATACATATACAAACAATAAAACTATAGCTAATACTTAATTACAAACAGTACAGTCAGAGAAATCTTGGTTAACTCGTAAATGTATCTGGCTGTACAATTTGTTAAACTCTTGTCATTCATGGATATACAATAAAGAAACAGGTCGTTTTTACCTAGTGAACTAAAACAACTATTAATTTCCAGTATCTCTTTCAGGAAATTTTCTTTGATGAGATTTTCTAACTTTGTAATTTTTACAATTTAAAAAATAATGAAACAATAAATAAAATAATAATCAGATATGAAACACTCGAGCTGCGCTCTTGGAACCCTCAAAGGCTCAAACTTAACAAGATTTTGCCTTTCAAGTTCTCACAGGACCCATGAAACGAAACGAATTCGTGCAAAGCTCCCCGTGTGAACAAATGGCGGTCTCTTGTGAACGAAGTCTGGAATATTAAAGTTTCCGGAGTGACACAAGACACACTTAGACACCACTTGAAACAGTTTTATGATCTAGGCGCTGGTGTGGTACGGGGCATCGCTTAGTGCTTCAAATACTTGCAGCTTCGGAAACCCAGGACTGTATTTCTGGCGTTTTCTGAGACGACTGATTTGCAGTGCGTCTATGAAATTGACCATATTTCCCACACTGAAATTCAGTTATGCGGATGTTTGTAAAATGATCAGATTCTTCCAAAGTAATTTAACATCATATTTTAATTATGACTTTACAAAATAGGATTTAGTATTTAATGCCGAGTCAGTTTCCTCAAACATTTCTTACAAATCCTTCAAAACTTAGAATTTACCCATGCAAAATTCCTACTGTGATCACAAAAACTTTGATAGTGTAACCAGGTTTCAGGATGGGTGGGCAGCTGCGTCGGCTCCTCATATGGAGAAAACACGAAAGTTAGACGATTTCCTAAGTTATATACAGATTAGGTTAGTTCTAATGACTTCCTAAGGTAATTTACGTACTATTTAGTACTGCTTCTAAGCATGAAAAGAATCCAGACAAATCGCACTGTCTGTTTATGTTGTTTGTTTTACTAACAATTATACTATAAATCCGCATAATCTCATCCACACATTAGTATGTTTAAGTAAGGAATATTTTACATTGTCACGGTATCATGCAACCGTGAAATTCGGAATAACTATCAGGATTTATTTAATGTAATTTTTGCAAATAAGATTACAACGCATAAAGGTTGGTTTACGCAATGCGCAAAAAAGTAAAGACATAATAATTTTATTTATACTGGATAGCTCTAGCGATCAGTTCTAAACTGTTCTTCCTAGAGGTCCAGTAAGAGTCATCTCTTCTTGATCCAGTGTTACTACAGGAGGAAACCTAAACTAAACTAACTTTATTTATACTAGATAGCTTTATCAGTTCTAAACTGTTCTTCCTAGAGGTCCAGTAAGAGTCATTTCTTATTGATCCAGTGTTATTATAGGAGGAAACCTAAACTAAACTAACTTTATTTATACTGGATCGCTCTATCAGTTCTAAACTATTCTTCCTAGAAGTCCAGCTAGTAAGGATCATCTCTTATATTCATCCAGCGTTTTTTATCGGATTCGTATTTATTCTCATTTTTTATCCATTTGGCATGAAGAAGATATCGTTGAACAGCTAAAAGCATGATCTTTCCGAATGTGAAAAAATCTCGTTCATCGGCAGAGTAATTCAGATACAATAGCGCGCTGAAGTTCGATTACGTTTTTTTATATACACCCTGTACTACTGGATAGGCTAGCTCTATCAATTCTGAAGTATTCTTCCTAGAGGTTCTGCCGTAACGTTCCCTGCGATACGCCCTAGCCAGTAGACGCTGTCGAGTTAACTGTGACGTTACAAAAACAGAATTTTCTTAAATGCGGCAAATCTTTCGCAATGCACCGGGGCTGTTCTCCGTATTTATTGACTCGACTCACACTTTTACTGGCAATAAACCAGCCTCGATGGTATTTCACTGTGGCTTCATATATACCACTGTTAGGGCTGGTTTCAAACTGCAGTTGGTAGCGGCAGTAGTCTTTTTGTATTGGCTTTGCGCTGGATTGAAATTCAGGAATAAGATCGTTCGTTTGACGGAAATTGAGGACTTTGTCATTCGGCTGTTCGATCAGAGCATAGTTGACTGTCTTGAGATTTAAAATTTCACAAGATTTTTTGCTTAAAACGTGTTCTGAATTGAGGCTGTTAATGAATTCGATGACGGCCAATGCTGCATTTTGCACGTGACTGTCGGAGGTATCAACCGCTGCCCATTTTTGACACGGGCACCAATGATCGGCAACATTAGCCTGCGCACAGGTGCGAGATGCGGGCACCTCCTGTAGAAGGCTTTGTCCGTGTTTGATGTTCGAGGGAAGATCAGGATAGTAGAGCATGTGTCGGAATGTCGCGTGAAGATCGTACCATGACGTCAAGCGATCGGTATTGATTCGGAGGTTCTCGTGAAGCTTTGGGTATTTCTTGGAAAACCACGGTGGGAATATCATAGAAAACAAAGGCAGACGTTCTTCCAGCTTTCCTTGAATTTCCATGCGCATTTTCCCGAAGCGGCTTCCGTGATCCCCCATCACGATCAATAACGTGTTGTTTAATTTCCCTTTCGTGTTCAAGTCACGGAAGAGGGAAATTAAATGTGGTTCGATATTTTCAACTTGGTTTAAGTCGTCATGTGAGAACAACACTAGAAAAATGAACGGTAGGTTAGTGCTTGCGTGACAGTCACCTCTCTCACCGTGGTTTGGTTATGCCAGTTGTCTGATTGTGATTTCATCGTCACATGTGAGAAGCGTTCTACCAAACACTGCAAGATTTTTCTAGGTCCTGACTGTTATACACGGACATCAGTTTAGAACCGATAGAGCTATCCAGTATAAATAAAGTTAGTTTAGTTTAGGTTTCCTCCTGGAGTAACTTTGGATCAATAAGAGATGACTCTTACTGGACCTCTAGGGAGAACAGTTTAGAACTGATAGAGCTATCCAGTATAGATAAAGTTAGTTTAGTTTAGGTTTCCTCCCCCTGTAGTAACACTGGATTAATAAGAGATTATTCTTACTGGACCTCTAGGAAGAACAGTTTAGAACTGATAGAGCTATCCAGTATAAATAAAGTTAGTTTAGTTTATGTTTTCTCCTGTAGTAACACTGGATCAATAAGAGATGATTCTTACTGGACCTAGGAAGAACAGTTTAGAACTGATAGAGTTATCCAGTATAGATAAAGTTAGTTTAGTTTCGGTTTCCTCCTGTAGTAACACTGGGTCAATAAGAGATGATTCTTACTGGACCTCTAGGAGGAACAGTTTAGAACTGATAGAGCTATCCAGTATAAATAAAGTTAGTTTAGTTTAGGTTTCCTCCTGTAGTAGCACTGGATCAATAAGAGATGATCCTTACTAGATCTCTAAGAAGAACATTCCATATCATTTATACGTCAATGCATTTTTCTTTGCCTACCGTTGTAAGACAGCAGGAACTTCAGTTTGTCGGGGAAAGTATCAAACACATCGCGGATATATTTAAACTGACATTGCGCGATGTTCATGGAGCCTAGGCACAAGTCTCTCCCTCCCTGAAGGTTGCGGGCGGCTCGCTGGTAGAAAGGTCGGGTGTAGAGGTCGGTGGGGGGATTCTGAAATCCTTTCAGTCTCAGTTGCCAGGGACCAATGTGAGGCGCGTCGCCTGAGTAGCCAGTCAGGTAGCCGTGGTCTAAAATAGAATTAGTGGATTTAGTTCTAAGGGAATGCGATAAAAATGGTACATACACCCCTCTAATATACACACCTGTTTAAGGTGGACGCCTTTCTAATATGAACGCCTCTCTAGTACGGACACCTCTGTAATATTGACATCTCTTTAAATCTACCTCGCTAATGTGGACCCCTCTCTAATTTGGACACCCCTCAAATATGGACATTTGTCTGATACGGACAGTCTCCAATTTGGTGGGGTTTTTTTTTCAATCTCTATATAAAACAGACTCCTCTCTAATATTGACACCTTTTTAATACAGACATCTCTGTAACATGAACACCTCTCTAATACAGACTATCTCTTATGTGGACCCCTCCCTGATACGGATAGTTTCCAATCTCGATATAAAACGGACACCTACTTATTTAAGTCTTATATCCAACTAGAAGCACTGGTAAATGGCGTCCGTCATCCTTATCGAAGTGTTAATTCTTAATATTCTTATGCTCCCCTTATATCCATTTCTTACCCTTCAGTTCCTTAAATATCCATGTCCATCCATCAACAGGCCTAGGGTTCCTGTGATGTCTTCTCGACTCATATTGCTCCAGTTCTCCGAGACCAGTTAATATAGCGGTCAGTTGCTCCGTTGTGCCATCCCCAACAATAGAATGCCCATTAAACATAATCGCTCCTAACTCCTTCTCCAAATAATCGTAAAGCTTCGGAAGCTTCCGCTGAGCATTCGCGTGCGATAACGAATCCATTCCGACGATGAGGATATTGAGGGGTAATCCGGGTGGTCTTTTAGCCGTGCGTTTTAGTAAATGGTCATGTGGGACAGGTTGTAGCCAGAACTCGCGTAAAAGACGGCCATTTCTCACTCTACATTCGACTTCAATAAATTCGTCTTCGATTTTTTTTGTCGGGGACACTTTAACTGATGTTCCCAACACATAGTTGAAGTCGCCGCGACGAAAAATACCACGATATGATGCAGAGATAACGTTCTTGTCTGCAAAATACATAGTGTTGACTGTTGAAACCTACAGCGGCGTATGTGTATTTTACCTTTATGAGCAGGTATGCAGGCTAGACTCCGGTTTTCTCCTTTAGTAACACTGGATCATTTAAAATGAAGATCCTTACTGGACCTCAAGGGAGGACAGTTTAGAACTGATAGAGTTATCCAGTATAAAAAAGTTAGTTTAGTTTAGGTTTCCTCCTGTAGTAACACTGGATCAATAAGAGATGACCCTTACAGGATCTCTAGGACGAACAGTTTATAACTGATAGAGCCATACAGTTTAAATAAAGTTACTTTAGTTTAGGTTTCCTCCTGTAGTACCTCTACGAAGAACAGTTTAGAACTGTTAGAGCTATCCAATATAAATAAAGTCCATCGCTTACCTGTGATATGAAAAATGCCATTAACCAGTTTTCCGCAAGATCTGAACCTTTTGCAGTTGGATCCACCCCCCTTCTTGATAAATTTCATCACGGACGGATGAAATGGGTCCAGATACGGAATCTGACAAGTCATGTTTGACTTGGAACCGATGTCGTTGTTGGACACCTTCTTTGTAGTTCTTGCGCAATGTGCCTGAAAACAATTAATGTGTGGTTGACACTATCAAAGTTTCTGCCGTGATCACAGTAGGAATTTTGCATGGGTAAATTCTAAGTTTTGAAGGATTTGTAAGAAATATTTGAGGAAACTTACTGAGTGTCTAACACTGGTTTAACACGGAGCCAGTTCCCTCAAACATTTTTTTATAAATCTTTCAAAATTTAGGATTTATTTATGCAAAATTCCTACTGTGTTAATTCACAGAAACTTTGATAGTGTAAAGCCTTGGGCAAACTAGGAACCATTGTTGCGGAAACATTGTTTCCTGCCAATGTTTCGCCATGTTTCCCAAGGTGAGCAAACACTAGGAAACAATGTTTCCGCGACAAAAATCGCACTTGGGAAACATGAAATGTTTCTGAATTTGATAGGAAACATTTCTGCTTCTCGGGAAGCAAATTGTGTTTCTGCAACGATGTTTCCACGGGTGGGCAAACACAGAAACACTTGAGGAAAGATGGCGAATCACAATGTTTCCGCAACAATGTTTCCTAGTTTGCCCAAAGCTTAAACTTCGACGTTTTGCGAGCGAAGGCACTTCGTTGGGTTGGGAAAGTTAATGCTACTAACTTCCAGATAAAGGGTTAGTTTGGAACGTGGAAGTTTTCCTTACAGTTTCCAGGTATTTGTATCTTTCTCAATCCGCAGGGAATATTAGGATCGAAATAGGACTACAGTGTGGGACTACATGACTCAATTTTGGACTAAATTACTGAAGTCATTGCACTACCCTATATGACCACTAAAGTACCTTTCTATCATAGATACTCCTGCTGATCCAGTCGTCATCCCCGACATGTTGCATGATCTCAGCTGGCAGAGGTAACGTCAGTTTCTACAACACAAAACAGCAGTCGGAAATGGTTCCATTGTTTAAATATTTTATGAATAAACGATATATTTTTATTCAGTCAGGGTTGAGTATAAATCTCGATGAAACGTGCATGAGAAATTGGCAGTCAGGCGATCTTAGTCAGCTGCTCTTAATGTTTTCCCAACACTATCATGTATTCTATTTAAGTTAAAACATAGTTGGAACATTCATCAAACCTTTATTTTGTTAATCTAGAGCTTGAAATGTCCCTGTAAAAAAAGTGTGACTGCCAACTCTAGCTCATCAACTTTCATTCAATTAAATTTGACCGAGGCGAATTTATAGCATAATTGTAAATTACCGGTTTCCGCTGTCTTCTGTCCTCTGTATTTGCGTCAATTTCAACCACCTGAAATTGAGGAACAGTTTAGCTGGACTCTACTGGGTGTAAAAATGAAGAGTGATTTGTGTTTGAACTTACGTTGAGTTGAGATGACAAAGCTTTAGGTAATTTCTTCATTGACTTTACCTCTACTTTCCTCACCTGGTGGAGTAAGAGAAAACATATACTACCACGGTCTGCTTATTGTCTGCCTACTGACTTTTTTACTCACTGATCAGCGGACTTCCCCACGGGCTATTGCCCAATTCATAGGGGATCCGAGGCACTATGATTTAACGTCCTCGCCCGAGAAGACGCGAAAGTCTAATTATTTACTGATGTCAATGAAAAGGTAGCACTTTCTCCTCAATTACTTCACGACCTTGAATAGAGGTCAGACCCCGTACTAAGTTGGCCTGATTCGTTTAGATGGATCATCAATTTCTAATATACAGTTGTCCGTATAGTTCAGTGCTATGATAGCCATGTGAAAATGCGATTTAAAATTCCCCTGAGCCAAACCTATCTCCGTTAATATGCGTTTTGAACCTTTCTAAGTCGGTCAATGACGAAAAATTTTTTTCGATCAGTCAAATATTTTCTAAGTGCCAAGCCTAGTTTTATATGACTGCGAAATCCGGGCAAGCGTAGTGTATAAATTTATAGTAATCGAGACGGGCAAGGATCATTCGCATACGGGTCAGTGCTATGATAGCGATGTGAAAATGTGCTTTAAATTTCCCCTGAGCCAAACCTATCTCCGTTAATATGCGTTTTGAACCTTTCCAATCCGGTCTATGACGAAAAAATTTTTTCGTTCAGCCAAAAATTTTCTAAGTGCCAAGCCTAGTTTTATATATATGACTGCGAAATCCGGGCAAGCGTAGTGTAATTTATAGTAATCGGGACGGGCAAGGATTGATTTGCATACGGCTCAGTGCTATGATAGCCATGCGAAAATGGGCTTTAAAATACCCCTGAGCCAAACCTATCTTCGTTAATATGCGTTTTGAACCATTCTAAGTTGGTCTATGACGAAAAATTTTTTTCGATCAGCCAAAAATTTTCTAAGTGCGAAGCCTAGTTTTATATGACTGCGAAATCCGAGCAAGAGTAGTGTAATTTATAGTAATCGAGACGGGCAAGGATTGATTTGCATACGGCTCAGTGCTATGATAGCCATGTGAAAATGTGCTTTAAAATTCCCCTGAGCCAAACCTATCTGCGTTAATATGCGTTTTGAACCTTTCTAAGTTGGTCTATGACGAAAAAATTTTTTCGGTCAGCCAAAAATTTATTTGACTCCGAAATCCGGGCAACGGGCAAGCGTAGTGTAATTTATATTAAGGGACGGGCAAGCGTAGTGTAATTTACAGTAATCGAGACGGGCAAGGAATCATTTGCATACGGGTCAGTGCTATGATAGCGATGTGAAAATGTGCTTTAAATTTCCCCTGAGCCAAACCTATCTCCGTTAATATGCGTTTTGAACCTTTCTAGGTCGGTCTATGAGGAAAAAAATTTTTCGGTCAGCCAAAAATTTTCTAAGTGCCAAGCCTAGTTTTATATGACTGCAAAATCCGGGCAAGCGTAGTGTAATTTATAGTAATTGGGACGGGCAAGGATTGATTTGCACACGGCTCAGTGCTATGATAGCCATGTGAAAATGTGCTTGAAAATTCCCCTGAGCCAAACCTATCTCCGTTAATATGTGTTTTGAACCTTTCTAAGTTGGTCTATGACGAAAAACTTTTTTCGGTCAGCCAAAAATTTATTTGACTCCGAAATCCGGGCAACGGGCAAGCGTAGTGTAATTTATATTAAGGGACGGGCAAGCGTAGTGTAATTTATAGTAATCGAGACGGGCAAGGAATCATTTGCATACGGGTCAGTGCTATGATAGCGATGTGAAAATGTTCTTTAAATTTCCCCTGAGCCAAACCTATCTCCGTTAATATGCGTTTTGAACCTTTCTGAGTTGATCTATGACGAAAAATTTTTTTCGATCAGCCAAAAATTTTCTAAGTGACAAGCCTAGCTTTATTTGACTTCGAAGTCCGGGCAAGCGTAGTGTAATTTATAGTAATCGGGACCGGCAAGCATTGATTTGCATACGGCTCAGTGCTATGGTAGCCATGTCAAATGTGCTTTAAAATTCCCCTGAGCCAAACCTATCTCCGTTAATATGCGTTTTGAACCTTTCTAAGTTGATCTATGACGAAAAATTTTTTTCGATCAGCCAAAA